CTATGGGGAATTCGATGTTTTTGGATACAATCCATACACATTTGTGGGAATGCCAATTCCCTAGGGGGAGTTGGTGTTTCTACGAGGGAAATGGGGTTTCCCCGTGGGAATGCCAACTCCCTAAGGGGAGTTGGTGTTTCTACGACAGAATTGGGGTTTCCCCGTGGGATTGCCAACTCATAATTATCATCGAACACTTGTGTAAACGTTTAAAGAACAAATTTTTTATCTGCCTTGGTTCAAAAGTTTTAGAACGTCCTGGTCTTCAGATTTAAGACCGGCCCACAGCTGAAATTTTGTATTTGCTTTGTCTTGTGATTCCTTTGTTGCGCTACTGATTATTTGTTTTGCTTATTGTTTAGACCCTAAGGATGACTGAAACTGTTCGGTACGGTGAACAGATTCGTTCAAATAAAGGTGTAATAAAATTAGTTGTAGACGGATTTGTTTTCAACCGAAATAGAGTTTGTGACGAGAATGTGATCTATTGGCAATGTGAGTTGTATAGACAACAGAAATGTATGGCTAGAGCGAAGACTACTACGGTAGGTGAGAGATTTCGAGTTGACATGAGTTCAGAGCATAATCATTTGACAAATCCCGCAAAACTTGTTGAACGAAATGTGACTATTCAGGCCAAAGATCGGGCATTAAATACACGGGAGAAACCGTCACAAATCATTCAACATGTTAAGCGAGATGTTGATATTGAGGTTATCCCTGAGATAACTTCGGATAAGAATTTGAATAAAAGAATTCATTATACCCGTCATAAAGACATTCCAAATGAACCCACATCTTTGATAAATTTTGTTTTAGAGAACAACTTCAGGCAAACAATCACTGGTTTAGAATTCTTCAGAGAAATAATTGTTGGCGAAGAGAAAGTTTTTCTCTTTGTTAACAATGATCACTTTAGATATCTCTGTCGTTAAGATTATTGGATTATGGACGGTACGTTTAAAACTGTTCCTCGATTGCTGTGCCAACTGTACTCCATCCATTGTGAAGTCGGTGGAATAAATTCGCGAATTCTTCCGGTTGCTTGGGCTTTGATGTCATCAAAGTCTCAGGTTTGTTATGAGGCGTTATTTGAAGAAATTCGTCGTTTGGCAGCATTGATTGGCTTTGTATTGAGACCAAATTTCATTATTACTGATTTTGAGAGGGCTGCCATGAACGCAGTTAGAGAGGTGTTTCCTGGAACACAGACTAAGGCATGTTTGTTTCATCTCTCACAGATTATTTATCGAAGAGTTCAATCATTAGGTTTAGTGAGACTCTACAATGAAGGTAATAACAGTCTTAAAGTTCGACAATTGGCTGCATTGGAATTTTTACCATCCGATCAAATTATTAATGCATTCACTGAAATTCTGGTGCCTCTACTTAGAGATGACTTTCGTGAACTGTTGAAATGGTTCGCAATTAATTATGTGTCAGGAGATAGAAGGATACAATCGCCTCCAGCATTTGATCCAATGATTTGGTCGGTATTTGAAAACAATGAATTTGGATTTCCTCGGACTTCAAATCATTGCGAGGCGTGGCATTCAAGATGGGACACTTTGATTGGTTCATCCCATGTGGGTCTCTATCACATTATTGACGCAATTCGTGAAGAGGAAAACAGAGTTTGCGGTCAAATTGAGTTAATTAATTCAGGGGAACCAAGAGTTAGAGCATCCAATAAGCAAAAACAACGTGAAAATGCGATCCGAACTGTTCTCGAAAATAGAGCTCAAGGAACTTCAACAACTTCTGAATTTCTTAGAGGATTAGCTCATCGAATTACTATGTAAATTTGTATATTGTTTGTAAATATTTTCCAAAAATTTTAACAAAACCCAAAAAAAATAAAAAATACAAAAAATAAGTAAAAATTATAGAATATATTTTATATATGCAGAGTTTATACTTAGTTTAGATGCTTTTTCTTCGTTTGGAACCAACCGATCAATTGATAAAAAAATTTTGTGGAGGGGAAACCCCAATTCTGTCGTAGAAACACCAAGTCCACATAAGGTGTTGGCATTAACACGTGGAAACCCCATTTCCCTCGTAGAAACACCAATTCCCCGTTGGGAGTTGGCATTCCCACGGGGAAACCCCATTTCCCTAGTAGAAACACCAATTCCCCGTAGGGAATTGGCATTCCCACGAGGAAACCCCATTTCCCTCGTAGAAACACCAAGTCCCCGTAGGGAGTTGGCATTCCCACGAGGAAACCCCATTTCCCTCGTAGAAACACCAAGTCCCCGTAGGGAGTTGGCATTCCCACGGGGAAACCCCATTTCCCTAGTAGAAACACCAATTCCCCGTAGGGAGTTGGCATTCCCACGGGGAAACCCCATTTCCCTCGTAGAAACACCAATTCCCCGTAGGGAGTTGGCATTCCCACAAATGTGTATGGATTGTATCCAAAAACATCGAATTCCCCATAGAAATACATAAAGTCTACGGCAGGTTAGGGGTTCTATCCAAAAACATGGAATTCCCCATAGAAATACATTAAGTCTACGAGAAGATAGGAGGTGGGTCCAAAAACATCGAAATCAGCATAAAAACCTACATCTGAAAAAAATTAGGTCTTTTCGGGTTTAGGTCTTTTAGGTTTTAGGTCTTTTCGGGTTTAGGCCTTTTAGGGTAGAACCCTTTATCTGTCGTATTAATTGTAGGCTTTTCAGATGATAATTTCGTTTCGTCATTAGTGCGTTTATACAATTCAAAGGCATCGTATAATTGTGCAAATGATGTAAAAATTTCACCATCTTTATAGTATTTATCCATGAGCAATTGCATTAATATTGATTCACTAACAAATTCTAAACGAAGAAATTCTTGTACAATGGAATCTTCCATTAATACATATGGCCATGATGAATGATATGGCTCATCCCAATCAGGATCCTCAGGCCACACATCGTACCCTTGATAATCTTCCTGTTCAGTTTCTTGTAGACGGAGATGAACGTCGCGGATATAATTTTTTGTTTTATTTCGTTGAACATGTGGACAATAAGGCATATGTTTAGTATGTTCTTCCCAAGGTTCATCTCCTTCAATCCAATTGTATAATACTTTTTTGCACTCAAAACACTACGTAATCAGCGTGTCCGAGTGAATAAAAACCAGCTTCTGCCAGTGTTTTGGTTGAAATTTCGCAAGTAAATACATTTGTCGCATATGAATTGATGCGATTATCCAATTCTTTATAAAAGCTAGCATGTGGTACAATCATATTTCCACACACATCTTGTCCACGATGGACTTCTGATATTGGTTGATTAAGCGCACCTTCATCCATTATAAATGGACAGTGGGAAATGTTTTGAATGTTCAGCATAAGGTTCGTTACTTTGTTGCCAATTCCTTATAATACCAAGACAAAATGCACATTGCACGAGATCTCCTTCAAGATAGAAAAATCCGGCATTTGCAAGAGATTCAATTGAAATAAAGTCATGAGGCCAATTGTCAAACGATTTTAGTCGATTAGTTTCATCAAACATGTTGAAAAATACACGTTTTGTAATATATTTATCCATATTTGGATCATTTCGCATACTTCTATATTCATTGAGCATTTCTTCACGCTCACATTCGATATAAAATTGGTCCTCATCCATTTTAAGGTTTAATAATTTTTATGAATACTTCTACTGAGATTCCAGTATTTATATACTTTTGCAAAAATGAATTAAGTTTGAATTTCCCATGACAAATTTCTAATTTATCAATAATATTTTCAAAATTAAAATTTTGACGTTTTATTGATTTAAAATATATTGATTGCTCAGCATCGATAGCATTATAAATTTTAAAACTTATGAAAGCGTGGGAATTAACATCATGTAATAATGTTATAAAAATCTTTTCTAAAATATTATATTTATCTATATGAATTTGTATATAATTTTCGTTATTCACTATAAATTTAAACGTTAGTTGTTTTACAGTTCGAATAAAATTTTTACGTCGATTAAAGTAAGGTATTGAAAAACTATTTAAAGTTAATATTGTATAATCAACACTGTTATTTTTAGTCATTTTAAAATATAAATTTTTAATTTCAGTTTCTTTTATCCAACTATTGTAGCTTTGAGGGTAATTTAGCCACTTTATATAACATTCTTTAATCCCATCACGTACTCTTCTCTTTATTATTTTTTCAATTCTATATAAATTCTCAGTAACTTTTTGAATTTCTTCAGGATAGTACCTTTGCTTATCTAAAGTATCATGTTGATCTGACACCAAATACATTGGTTTTTTAGGTTCATCTC